ATATATATATATGTGTGTGATTTTTTTTTTGTATGTATGTATGTATGTATATGCATATGTATATATACATATATATGTGTTTATATATGTATATGTATATATAAATATATTTGTTTGTATGTATATGTATATATATATTTGTATAGATGTTTGTATATATATGTGTATGTTTTTTATTTTGTATATATATTTATATTTTTATTTGTATATAGATATGAATATATATGTATATTTTTTTTTGCTGTTTATTTATTTTATTTTAAATTTTTAAAAAAAAATCGATTTTTTTTCATATTTTTTCGGAATTTTTTTTAAAATATGACGTGACATGCTGATGTGGCAAAAATCTATGTGGCGTGCCACGTCAGCCGCCACGTGGCATGCCACGTCAGCGGTTAACGGACACTTAACACCGTTTTCGTATTGTGTAGCAAATTGCAGTTAAATCGGGTAGTTCGTGTATCAATTTGGCACATTTGATAATTTGGTGTAGTTTTTTGTCAAATTAAAAATTCGTGTAGGAAAAGGTCACATTTTACAAAGTTGGTGTAGGAAAATGTCATTTTCCCTTTAATATATTAATGCATATACACAAATTGATTTAAATATCGATCGTAACAACAAATTGTTCGGAGGCCGCAGGAATTAATGGTCTAAATATTAAAATTCATGACCTTATAATTTACTGTTTGCGTTGGATTTAAATTTAGTTACTAAATCAAAAGAAAAAGGAAAAACATGCCAAAAATAAAAACCATGAATTGCTCCCTAATGATCTATAAAGTATTAGTTTTTTTTTTTGGTGAAATATAAAGTATTAGTTATTGTTTTACTATACTATATTATATTATACTATACAATACGATAAAATACTATACATAATACGTATACATTTACGACGAACAAATTCCGATAAACTATTATGAATATGTCAATATGATCATAATTTCAAAGTAATTAATGTGGTTTTTATTTTTTAATCTTGGATTTGGTTAATTTTTGGGGGGCGGGGAATGATAGCATGCGATCGCGTACACGGATACGACGGAGGAGATATACGGAGCGAAGGCCACTATGAATGTGTGGGACCCATCGATACAGGAAGTGAATGAGTTCAGTCTCTCTCAGATTTGGCTTCTGTCCGGATCTTTCGACGGTTCCGATCTCAATAGCGTCGAAGCTGGTTGGCAGGTACGCCCTCCTTCTTTTACTCTTTTCACTTTTTGACCCCGGAAAAAAATAAATAGACTAAAACCCCCCTCTAATTATTATTAATGAAAAAAATATGTGAGGGTAAAGCTTTTGAATATTCTACTAGACAGGTCAGTCCGGAGCTGTACGGTGACAGCAGGCCTAGACTGTTCACCTATTGGACGGTATGCTTCTTCTTTTATATATATCCAGTTGTTTTGCTTCTATTCCAATAATAAATTTTTGATATTTAAATAAAGATTACTTTGATTAGTAACATTTAATTTTTATTTGGATACATATATATATATATATATGTATGATAATGTTTTTCAGAGTGATTCATATCAAGCAACAGGGTGCTACAATCTTCTGTGCGCTGGATTTGTACAAACTAATGACAGAATTGCCATTGGAGCTGCCATTTCTCCCGTCTCTACCTTCAAAGGCAGCCAATTCGACATCTCCATCCTCATTTTTAAGGTATACATATATATATATACATATATATATATATATATAACGATGAAAAAGAATTCATAACAAAAAAAAAAAAGAATTCGTAACGATGCAGTGATCATTTTATATATCTTTGGTAAATAAAAAAACGAAGGATCCAAAGCAAGGGAACTGGTGGTTAGGCTTTGGAGACAACACATTGGTAGGTTACTGGCCCTCGGAGCTATTCACGCACTTAAGCGACCACGCCACGATGGTCGAGTGGGGCGGAGAGGTCGTGAACTCACGAGCCGCCGGGAGGCACACCACCACCCAGATGGGCTCCGGTCGCTTCGCCGACCAAGGCTTCGGCCAAGCCTCTTACTTCCGAGACCTCGAGATCGTCGATCCCGACAACGCCCTCGTCCCTGTCCGAGACATCAAGACTGTGGCCGAGAACACAGACTGTTACAGCATCGAGAGCTTTCACAGCAATGAGTGGGGCACTTACTTTTACTATGGTGGACCCGGGTTTAACCCTAGGTGCACTTAGACCAAAAGAGATTTTCTACTTGGAATTGTCATTAGATGTGTGTAGATATTTTGGGTAGAAGAATGAGAAAGGGCGAATGTTAACGTGACATTGAAACGTCTGCAGAAATTCAGGATTTAATGAGAACCACATTTATTGGTTCGAACTCGAGACTTCTGGTCCTGCAAGAAACTTCAGTACTGTCTAAATGAGTTATGATTCTTCTGGTGTCTCCATCAGTCATTGACAAAAGCTGCAAGCGAATTTAAGACCAAAGAATTTTTCAATGCTCGGAGACTGGGAGGAACTGGTGTCTGCAGGCATGGGTTCTTTACCCAGAAATCATCCAGATTCTTACTCGGGTCGGTCGGTCAAAGTACGCACTGGTATCTGGTTTGACAGAATACCGATCAATCCGGTATGGGTTGGCAATCCAGCGAACCCGGTTATTGATTTTTCTGGTGCTGACCATCTGTACCAACGGATCTACATTCTACCATTCTACTTGATTCTGGATATTCTGTCATCAGATAGGCTGGAGCAGGTGGTGTTCCGGGTCCTGTTCTGTGGCATTATCCCCAGTAATAGTGTTAGTTCCCGGGATGAACATAGGGATTCACTTGAAAACCGAGAAAGAATTCTCGGTTAAATCTCGGATACTAGGACTGGATCCATCTGGTGCAGATCAGCTACTCGTTTGGCGCCGCAACCAAGTCTACGGGTCCGGCGGAATCTGGAAGAATGGAAGAATGGAACTTCCCGTCTAAAGCTGGAATTATTAAGGGAGTACTGAGCTGGTCATTGAGACTGCGAGATTGTCTCAAGAACTCCATATACTGTTGGAAAAGAGAAGATGTGATGTAAGCTAATCATTATTAAATAAATGACCAATATCAATAAAGAGCTTAGAGATGATCTGTTGTTATACCGTAGCTCTGAAACGTATCTGGCATGAAAAATCAATCAGCCGGTACCAACATCGGTGCCACAAACCCATCTTGGATTCCAAGAACTAGCAAACAGTGAGTATACATGTAAAGTGTCTCGAGGACCACAAATTAAAAGAGACAACAAGATGATCTCTGGGTATCCATGAATGAATATAATAAATTTTCCACTTACCTTGTGTGGAGTATGGAATGATGGAAAGAACCGTAACGTGCATTGTCCAGGTCTACGGACCACAAATATCCAAACAAAATCATGCTGTCTTGTTAGACAGAGACACACATCCAAGCAGGACCATGTTTCAAATGATTCCCACATTTGACGAGTCCCATAGGAATGATCTTTAGTTCCTTGCATGCATTTGTTCACATGGAGGACTTTGTTTCGTTCTGGATCTGCGTCCAGGTGTCCACATTCCTCAGTCTAAAAGACAAACATGTGATGCTGCATGCAAAATTCATAAAATATATCGGCATAGATTTGCATATGAATATATACATGAACATGCCCTCTACACAGATCTATATGCCCATGTATCCAAGCATTATACTTTTATGCAAAGGTATATACTAATCCCCAAAAATGTCAATGTGAAGAAACAAACAGAACAAGTTGAGCATGCAGCCAAACCGGAGGTGGGTAACACGTAATACAGTCAAACATTCTGGAAACTGAAAAACACATAAGAGTTACTAATGTGGGGCTATGTTAAAAGAAAGATAGAAAAAGAAGTTGGATGTCCAGTTTCATCCAGGCATAAGATCTGATATAAAAAGGTTAAAACCTTGTGGTAAAAACCGATCAAACTATGCATATGTCCACAATGGTCAGATTAGTAAGCACATGCAGCTGCAAGAAAAAGCTTGATCTTATTTGATCTTGCAGGATCAGAACAAAAAGCATGAAAATTCCAAGATGGGCAGAAAGTGTGAAAGGGAAAATGAAATAAGATAAGAGGACAAAAAAGGGGTCCATGTGCTTGTCTTGATGTAGATGGATTCATCATCAAGGCTCACTCAATTATGTAAACAAGCCTTTCGTCGTTTCTAGCCTTGTGGTTAAAAAACCAAATCAAAACGTGCAATATTATCTCCTGCTGGTATGAATATCTGAAAAAGCAGAAAGCTTAATGCAAATGTTCACATTTATTGACTCTTTTCCTTTTTGGGTCAAAGTTTTCTCTTGAAACTAAACTGAACCACTTCGTCTAAAGATTCCTCACCTATTATCCATTGACAGGAAAAAGTGCTCACTTTAGATATGCCTCTTTATATACACATATACACATGCAAGCCAACTACTTTGTACTTCACTAAATAAATACCATCTTATCAACCCACCTTCTTCCTTGCTTTCCTTCTCTGTTTCTCTCTGTATTCTCTATTGCATGGCAACAGCATCAAAGTCACCTGATTCATCTTCCAATATGGATATCGTTATTGAAAGAAATCCTCCAAAGTCAAGGTTATCAGAACTAGGAATCACATCATGGCCTAAGTAAGTACTAAACATGCATATGCCATGTTCCTAACCCTACCACACAGATTTTCTCTCTCTTTTCCCCTCATTTTTACTGGTTATAACGGAGTGTTATTCTTGATGAATCTCTCGTAAGTAGATGGGGCTGTCCACCTGGAAAATATGCGCTGAGATATGAAGCAAGACAGACATGCTACCTGCTCCGGGGAAAAGTGAAGGTTTATCCAAAAGGGTCACCGGAGTTTGTAGAATTTGGTGCAGGAGACCTTGTGACCATCCCTAAGGGCCTTAGCTGCACTTGGGATGTATCAGTTTCCATCGACAAGCATTACAAGTTTGATTCTCCATCTTCTCCATAAGTCTTTTTACTTAGGACCTAATCATGGGTTAGTCTTCCTAACCATGAACATGAAATTCTATTCAGGCAAAAAAGATTATATAGAAGAAAAAAAAGTGCTCAGGAAGCATGCGAGACCCTCCTAGGTTTTCTGTTTCTTGATGTAATTTCTTTCCTTATGATAGATCAGACTATCACTATTAAATATACCTTAACTTCTCAGTTCGAAACTCATCTGATCTAAACAACAACACGCAAGAATTTCAAGTATGGTAACCCTAAGAGCAGTCTAGTATCACAATGAACAAGGTATACTTGCACACCAACATTACTTTTTTTTTCCTTACAGCAAGGAAAAAATTATCACTTTTGCTCAATCATCAGAGTAAAGCACTCTCCTAGCTATTTTCAAAGATCCCGGGATAAATTATTAGTAAAAATATAATCCAAGAGTTAGATACTCTCTATCCTTCATTATAAAGTAAATTAAAGGGTGAATACACCTATTCTACATCCATCTGCATAAACCCAAACATGATTAGTGAAACTCTATGGATCCATTGGAAAGATTCTTCTAAGATAAGAAAATAAGATATGCACAAGATTGTACCATATCCTCTTTCGACGCAAGAATACGAAGGTCAAAGTCCTTTACCTGGTATTGTTCTCTAATTTCGTCTTTAAACTGTTCGCCTAGATCTTTACCAAAGATTCCAATCAGTGGTTAGTGGTGATTATCATTAGGTAAACCCATAAAGAACCTTTGGAATATTTTTTTATGACATGTGAAGCACAGGAATGTGAAGAAAGCATATATTCTGCAGTATTGATCCTTGACCAGATAAAGTAAAAGCTTGCACTCCCAAATACCTCTAAGAGCAGCACCAGCATCTGATGCGTCTTATAAGCAATTATAAAAATGTGGAGGATAGGATATAGCGGCAAATTGAAGGAATTGTCTGATATGTATATTCCTGTGTGTGTGTATATATAGATAGAGAGATAGAGAGAGACAAAAAAAGTGGGAGGCTAATATTCTTGGCAAATACTTAATAATATATATAAAGCGTCAACTCAAAGTGGCTAATCTTCCCGGTTTCCATGCAACTTTGGTGTTATTAAGAATCAAACAGAATAACTTTATACCTCACAAAAATTGGTGCCCATAATAAATTATAAGATATGGCCTTCAAGGCTAAGAAACAGAGATAGATGAAACAGAACACATTTTTTATACACAGATGGATCTCAAACATGTTATGTTCTCAACTCACAGAATATGCTTTTTTTTTTCCGCCAGTAACTGACTGAAAAATTTATATAAAAGAAAGCTAACCTTTATGAATCTGGGAAGTGGATTTGGTTTGACGACAAGTATGCCAAAAGCTTCTTGTCCTCTTTTATCCAAAATGTTTTTTCTTCTAATTGTATGATTTCTGCACTAACCTGCAAGAAAAATGTATGTCTCCGAGCTGTGGTTAAATCCCTTGTCAAAATAACAACTTGGTCCACGAGCCCAAAAATGGGAAGACAGCAATCAGCATCCTCAAAAGCAACGGCTTATCCCTGACTCTCCATGGCCGGCTCACTTTTCTTTTGTACGGCAGCTTTGGTCGCCCATTTTCGCTTGATGGATTTTCAGGAGCATATTTAATATCCTTTTGTGTGTCTAGATCATCCCATCCCCCATACCTAGAATCTGTACTGCTGGGATCAGCATCTCCTACCACCCATGAATTGTACCCTCCAAGATTTATGCCAGCCAGGTTTTCCTCCTGTCTATTGTTGCTTGATCTTGTGTAGCCTACGGTTGCAGATCTTGAAAATGTTGTTCCTCTGGTTCTTCTGACAGGTCTAATGCTTGGTCTACTCCAAGCCTTATCAATCACAAGGGGCAGAATGGACTGTACAAGCGGAACTGCTAGTGCCATCAAACCTGCATTTGAGTCTGTTCCTAGCAGCAAAGATATGCCAATGGGTGCAACCATCCAACTGAAAGCCCTAAATACCTGCACTTGGAAGCAAGCCATTACGTCAGCATCTCAAAAAATGTCAGTATGCAGTCCATGTGATTCGCGGTACTATCAAACTGCTTTAGAACCAGTAACAAGCTATAGGTTTAACCGCTAAAAAGTGTCACTAAAAACTAAGATTGGCAACCAAAGTTATGGATGCTCCAAGCCTAAAACATGATTACTGAGAATCAGACAGTAACAATGATCACCACTGCTGTTCTCAGCTACCCTGAAAACTCAACATGACAATTTACGATCTCAGACTTGTGCATTCTAATGAAAACCAGCATTTCTATTGTCTCGTGGAACTCCTAGGCATGTGCTACAAATCAAACGCAAAGTATTTATCATCGACAAGGTTTCAACATGGCAGTATGGAACTCACTAACATAAGGCTTTTCACTTATGAAAGAATTAGGAGTCTTCCCATATACTAAATCAAACTTATCATCAATAGTCTTATGCGCCTTTTACCCATAAAACTAGTCAAAAATCATTCGACAACAAATCATTGAATCAAGTAAAGCTGCTCTATGTAACAATTTCTCTATCCACTCAACAAGCAAAATAGCAATAGCATGGTCAATACACCGGCAAGTAAACCATGATATTTTCCTATACCCAGCAGCTTCCTTATCAATCAAACCAGGTGAAAGTTAGCCCAAAGTTTCAGCCTTTTTCTCTTCCG